TGTACTTTGGGATTAGGTGACCCTACTACTGCCTCTAGTGTTTATATTATTCTGGTGAAAGGGAGATCACCAGAGAGATGTATTACTTGGGCAACAAGTTCTCGCCCTGGCATGGAGGTTGGTAGAGGTGGTTGCTACTTGTGAGCTGCGTTGAGATTTCCACAAAGAGGAGAGGATGAAGCAATATAGTAGAGATAAGTATTTCCCTCAGTTAAGAACCAAGGTTATCAATCCAGTAGGAGAACCACACAGAATCTGGTTAGCATCACCTACACACGCGAAAGCAAAATACTTGCACCCAACGCAAACAAAGGGGTTGCCAATCCCCTTGACAGTTAGTTGCAAGGATTAAATCTCGTAGTGATAGGTAAACGGATAAATTGAAAAACAAAATATAAAATAAATAAAAGTGCAGCAAGGTATTTTTATGTTTTTATATATGATAAAACTAGACTCGGGGGGTCATAGTTTTTACTAGAGGCTTCTCTCTCGTGCACATAACATACGGTGGGTGAAGAAATTACTATTGGGCAAATTGATAAAAAAGCGCATAGCTATGACAATATTCAAGGCAATGATCATGTATATAAGCATCACGTCTGAGATAAGTAGACCGACTCATGCCTGCATCTACTACTATTACTCCACCCATCGACCACTATCCAACATGCATCTAGGGTATTAAGTACAAAATAGAGTAACGCCTTAAGCAAGATGACATGATGTAAACAAAGTAAACCCAAGCAATATGAATAAACCCCATCGCTTTATCCTTAATGGCAAAAATACAAATACGTGTCTTGTCCTTTTCTGTCACTGTGATATAGAGCACCGCGAGATTGAACCCATCACAAAGCACCTCTCCCATTGCAAAATAAATCAGTCTAGTTGGCCAAACCAAATGGATATATCAGAGAGAAATACAAAGCTATAACAATCATGCATAATAAAGTTCAGAAAAGACTTAATTACTATTCATAAATAATATGATCATAAACCCACAATTCATCAAATCCCA